TGTTGTTTTTTTTAAAAAAAAAATCACAGTGAAAACTACTTGCTTTCCTTTAGGAATCTTTGAGGTATGAATTATCTTCATGTGCAGATCTTCCAAAAGAAAATAAAGAGAAGCAGAAGAGAATAATAATAAAAAATAGTTTAAATCTGTTAGACTCTCTTTTGTTGGGCACAGAATTGTAGTCTGTCATGTCTGTCGATGCTCAGTTTGGATGGAAAGACGTTTTAAAAATAAATCAATACCATTTAAGAACACCCATGGTCTGCTTGAGATCTAGTATTCAATGCATTCAATACATTTCCACAGTATTACTCCAGCATCATTGTTAATAAGCATCATTAATTTCTTTTGCTAATGGCATGATTTAAGTATGTGTCTTCTACATCCCTCTGGGTTCAGTGGGATTTACTGCCATGTTGAAAGAAGGGTAGTTCATGCAATCCTATTAGAGTAACTGTTAGAAGCAGATCATACAGCCATTTCCCATGGAAGGCTGCATATGCAGAAGGGCTGCCACTGGCAAAATGGTGTGAGCAGCATAGAAATTCTATGCACAAAACACAGGAGCCAGAAGATGAAGAAAGAGGGAAGTGAGGGAGAACTGGATTGGCCCATGTGCAAATAGAACGATAAGTATAACAATCTTAACTATTTAAAATTGTGGGCGGTTTTCTAGTTTGATCAATATCAATGTTAAGGTGCTTAAGTTGCATATATTTTGGACTTTAATCTTTAATTTTCCCAATGTCCAATTTAAATTTATTTTCTTGTAATTTAAACTAATTGTTTCTGGCCCTGCTTTCTGGAGCAACTCCAAGGAGTTCTATCTTCTACATGAACTGTCCTGTTTCCCTTTAGTCTTCTCTTCTGATGTTAAATCCAACACATCTAATTATTCCTTCTCTGTTTTTCCTCTCAGATTTCTTATTATCTTGATCGTCTCCTTTATACCATATTTTAGATGCAGCAGAATAATGACTTACCTCGATTATGACATTATTTGTATCTGGTAATGCAACCTAGGATTGCATTTGTTTTACAATCTACTAAGATGCTTGTCCTTTAGAAATGTGTTGAAGGCATGGAAATTCCAATAAGAAATAAAACATTTCCTTTTTGAATGTACCGCTACCTAATATGATCTCCACATTCTTTACTTCTAGTCTAGTTTGTATTTTGTCATCTTTCCCACTAGTATCTCACTGTTGTTTTATAATTTTAAGCAAAGCAGTCAGAACAAGGTTATGTTCACATAGGAATGTAACAACAAACTTTGCTAGTGGGCACACAGTTATTAATTTTACCTTTACTGTCTCACCCCTGACTAGTGTAGCTACTAAACCATGGTATGTGGTCTGAATACATGACGTGTGATTGATTCTGGTTATAACTACCCCCAGAAAATAACCAACTACATACATGCAGTACTCATTCTAAGTATTGTTCATCCAGGATAAGATATTTACTATAAACAGACCACAGTTAAAAGAAGAAGCTACAAATTCTGTTTGCATTAACCAAGCATCACAATGGGGAGGCTAGACCTGTCTAAATAATCTATATTCTGTTTCTTGGGCAACCAATCATAATTTTTTAGTGGATTACTTCCCACAAAATGCTTAGAGTGACATGTATAGCAGCTATTTGTAGAGTTATGTAAAACCTTTGAAAGAGAATATTCATTAGGAAGAAAGTGAAATGAAGTTGCACACATGTAGATAAAACTGGGTGCAGTTGCTCAGGGTTGAATAGTGAAGTCTTTGGTGCTCTCTAAGCTTGGTTGTTTGCTTGCAGATGTTTAATTACCTAGCTAGTAACATCATTTTTGCTAGTGAGTGGCGGGGGGGGGGGAGTTACTCCCTATTTATATTCAGCACAATAGCCTGCCTTGTCAGTATTGTTGGAGTATGGTTCTCTCCTTGGTAGTTCCTTGATTAGAGTATTGTTTACTTCCTGATTTTTTGTCTGGTGTTAATCTCTGCTTATCTGGGTGTTAGTTGCTGGAGAGGATGTGTTCTGATCTTTTTGTTTCCTTCTTAGTTTTTTATTCTCTGTTTTGAATGGCGTAAATGTGGTTTATCTCTATGTATCTATTGATGTTGATTTGTCTGAATGCCAAACTTCCGGAAAATCTTTAGCATTTTTTGGTATTAGCCTGGTCACAGTCTCCCAGCTGAAACTATGGTTGAGTCTGCCCATGTGTTGTGAAATTAAGAAGTTTCATCATGTCTTCTAACTGCTACTTGATGTTCATGGATATTTTCTGCTAGTGTTCTGCCTATCTGTCCTAGACTGTGACTGTTTACACCACCAGCAGATCTGAAGAGCAGAGGAACAGAAAATCATCAGGGCCTCCCAGATGACAACTTCCACTCCACCCTGTACCCTAACTTTGCAGCTGATGCTGCTAAATTTGTAGTTGGTTGCATTCCTTCCTGCCGGCCTATGTCTTGGTTATACATGTCAAGTCAGCACCTTCATTCACAATCAAATCATGCAACCTGATTATGCAGTTTGAATTAGAAACAAACAGGCAACCAATGCAGTTTCCACAATATTGGTATTCTACAACAATTCTGGGCTGCTGAATTTTGTACTACTGTATTTATAGTTTCTTGGTGATCTTCCAGATAATCCCATGTAGACTATATCTTCTACTTCATAAACCGTAACCACTGGTGCATCAGCCAAAAAGGTGCACTTGGCCACATGCTGTTCTAGCAGGAGTTGAGAGACCTCAGACTATGCACCAGCTCTTTCTGAATGACCCCATCATTCTTTTCTTTCAGTAGGACCCCCAGAAATTAAATTTCAATTAGATGGCTGAATGTATCTTAGACTAGAGGTCCCCAACCTTTTGGGCACCAGGGACCGGTTACGTGGAGAGAGGTTTTTCTGAGGACCGGAGGGGGCGTGGTTTTGTGTGCTGTCTCCATCCTGCGGATGGGGCTTTGCTTGTTTGTGTGGTCCGGTTGCTTGCACGGATCGGGGGTTGGGGACCTGTCTTAGACTTCGATTGTTTAATTCCTTGGTGCATGCTCTTTATAGTTGCAATCTTAAATGGCATGAGACAGTTTGTATAATGCATAAAATCTGTTTTGTTTCATTTTATTTCAATATGCTATACATAATAGTATGTCTTCTCAATTTTTACATTTTACAATAGCTATATTTTCAATGCATATGTTGATATTGTAAAGTGTGTTTCCCTTCTATCATAGATAACAAGATCTCATTAAGCTACATGTTATTTTTCTAATATTTTGCATTGTGGTAAGCATTCTGCTTCTATTTTATCCTTCCATGATTGCAAAACTATCCAGCAAGAGAATGACCTATAATCATTTGAAATCTGATTTAGTGCAATATTCCTTAGAATGAATGAGTGTACACTATGTGCACAATTATTAGGCAACTGGGTATTTTGACCATATCATCGTTTTCATGCATGTTTTCCACCTCCGAGTTGTATAAACTTGAACGCTTACTGGATATAAACATAGCAGGTGATGTGTATTTGTGTAACGAGGAAGGATGTGGCCTAAGGAGATCAAAACCCTATATCAAGGTGTGCATAATTATTTAGGCATAATTATTTCCTCAGGGAAAATAGGCCAAAAAAGAGATTTAATTGACTCTGAAAAGTCAAAAATCATAAAAAGTCTTTCAGAGAGACTGCAGCACTCTTGAAATTGCTAAGATATTGGGGTGTGATCACAGAACCATCAAATGTTTTGTTGCAAATAGTCAACAGGGTTGCAAGAAACATATTGAGAAAAAAAGATGCACATTAACTGCCAAAGATTTGAGAAGAATCAAACATGAAGCTACCAGGAAACCATTATCTTCCAGTGCTGTCATATTCCAGAACTGCAACTTACCTGAAATGCCCAGAAGTACAAGGTGTTCAGTGGTCAGAGACATGGCCAAGGTAAGGAAGGCTGAAACCCGACCACCACTGAACAAGACACTTAAGTTGAAATGGCAAGACTGAGCCAAGAAATATCTGAAGACAGATTTTTTTTCAAAGGTTTTATGGACTGATGAGATGAGAGTGACTTGACAGACCAGATGGATGGGCCCATGGCTGGATCAGTAACAGGCACAGAGCTGCACTTTGATTCAGATGCCAGCAAAAATTAAAGATGAGCTAGTTGGACCTTTTGGGGTTGAAGATGGACTCAAAATCAACTCCCAAACCTACTGCCAGTTTTTAGAAGACACTTTCTTCAAGCAATGGTACAGGAAAAAGTCAGCATCTTTCAAGAACACCATGATTTTTATGCTCCATCTCATGCATCGAAGTACTCCACTTCATGGCTAGCCAGTAAAGGCCTTAAAGATGAAAGAATAATGACATAACTCCCTTCCTCCCCTGACCAAACCCTATTGAGAACTTGTGGGCCCTTCTTGAATGGGAGATTTACAGTGAAGGAAAACAGCACACCTCTCTGAACAGTGTCTGGGAGGCTGTGGTTGCTGCTGCACAAAACGTTGATCGTCAACAGATCAAGAAACTGATAGACTCCAAGAATGGAAGGCTTATGACTGTTATTGAAAAGAAGGATGGCTAAATTGGTCACTGATTTTTTTTTTAAATGTCAGAAATGTTTATTTGTACATTTTGAGTTGTTTGTTTATTATTCTCACTTTAACAGTTGCAAATAAACGGGTGAGATGGGCAAATTTTCATTTTTCATTTAGTTGGATACTAATTCTGCACACTAATAGTTCACAATAATTGTGCACACATAGATATTCTCCCTAAGAAAGCCAAAACCTCATTTTCACTTTTTAAATATTCAGGTTTGAGGTTTATTAACATTTTGGATTGACCGAGAACACTGTAATTGTTCAATAAGAAAATTAATCCTTCAAAATACAACTTGCCTAATAATTGTGCCCACAGTGTATATCTGCATGTGTATGTACACACACACACACACATATACATATACATGCCGTTTCCTTTACTTAATGGGATTCTTTCCTCGTTGCAGTGCAAACGGCTGGAGCAGGAGCTTCATCATATGAAAGAGCAGAACCAGACTTCTGCAAACAACCCTAGACATCTGACTGCTAAAAACAATCAAGAACGTGCTCTGAAGGTAAATCTCCATTCCTTCTAGCAGGCAAATTAAGGTTGTAAGCCCTGGGTGCCAGCTTTCTCTGCTGCATAGATCAGTTGTGTACATTTCAACAGAAGTGAGCTGTGCTGTTTGCCAACAACCTCTTCTTTAAACACAAATACAGCACCCTTCTGTTATGGTATTATTTTGTGCTCTCTCTCTCTCTCTCTGTTTCTCTGTCTCTCTGCATGAGAGAGCAAGTGTACGCGAACATAAGAAGATAAAACAATATTCTTTTCAAATTTTGACCAGCTATCTTGTGTTAACGAACATTAAATTGATACGAACTCTTTATAGCAAGCAGAATTGCAGATCTATAATATTTGGAGAGAAACTCCTCTTGTTTGTCCAGTAGTGACTGTATTTTTAAAAAGTATCTGCCCCAAATATTACATGATGTATTAGTAAAATTATTTACCTATCGTATTAGTAACGACATTGTTGATACTGATGTTTGCAAATAGGTAGTTGATGATTTCCTCTTCCCAGTTCCAGGTTTAAAAAAAAAATCTTATTGAAAAAAATAAAAGGGAGGGGTTGGGTAAAAAGGAGATGGAGCAAGAGGTGTATCTTACTTCCTCATTAATGACCTCAAGGAAGATGGTAAAAGCCTTCATTTTTTGGGTGGAGTTTCTAAACAGCTTTTACTTTGGAATCTTAAAATATTCTTATAATCAGTTTTTATTTTACATTGTAGATGAAGTAGTGCTTGGTTTTTTTTTCTTGTTTGTAGTTCTTGGGAATCCTTAGGAGGAAAAGTCTCTTTTCAGAGACTTTTCGATCCCAATATTTTACATTTTGTTTTTAAAAGACCAAAAGAGGGAATTCCTAATTCATCTTAACAAGGGTAAAGAAAACAAAACAAAAAAGGAATCATTGTCAATTGGCCTATAATTTTTACCTCAATTCCTATTTATTTCTACTGTTTAACTTTGTTTTCAGTAGACTAGCATACTTGCTTTAAGTTCTAGAGGTAAATATAGTGTTACCTTTGTTTTATTTTTGAAATATGAAATAGGTGTCTCTTTTAATAAATGGATTGTACCAACTCATAAAGCTGAGCTTATTCTTCTGACTTACTCTTAAGATTTGAGCCCAGGCAACTTTCATGAGGCAACAGAGATAAAGCTGCTTTCTGTTTGGTTGTCATGGGAATGTTCAAAAACCTCTTAGATGAGAGGGAAATTTAGGCAGCTGTCAAATAAAATGTAGTTCATCACCAACTGTTTCATTTGTTTGTAGCTTTAATTCTTTCATTATCAAAATCATGACTCACTTTTTAACGTTATAAAACTGTAATTGTTACTTTGATCTAGTCTTTTTCAGTGTTGCTACATTTAAGTATTTTAAACTTAGAGTGGCATGGGTATCATTACAACTCATCCAATTCATTTTTTTCCATTTAAAATTTTAATTCTATATATTAATACGTTTGAATTTATAGTCATTTAACAATGTGGGCAAATGTTTTTTATACAGTTTAAAAGATACAATTTTTGAACCTACAATTTGAAAAATATTTTGTTTTATTAGTGGTAAAACATTATGTAATAAATGTGGCAAATTTCAGTCTGGTTAAACTAAAATAATTAATATCACACTGTTGATCTCTGTAGTATTTCTTCCATGTACAAGATTTATAGTTCTTTGAAAGACATCATGTTTATTTTTCCAGCAATGGTAGGTATATGTAAGTCTAATAGATATGTTTATTACACTACAGACTGGTTAGGATTTAAACATTCTCAGTGCAATTTAACTTTTAACACAATATAAATAAGTTGAATATTATTTACAATAGGATCAAACAGATTTTGCGTACATTTATTGCTCAAACTATTGTTGCTTCTGAAAACCATGCTTTTCTGGCACACATTTTACACAAGTAACACAAATAGACTATTAAGCCAAGGGGCCTATTTTACTTTTTTTCACTTTCAAGAGGAGAAAACTCATGCAGCCATCCACAGTAGGATTATGACTCAGCTGATACTTGTATGGTGCTTTCTTTTTATGAATAATACTATATCCTTATTTTAATTATTAATACTGTTTGTCTAAATGTCTGTTTCACTTAAAATTGAAAGTAGAGTAGATATTGTTTAGCTGTGGTTAAGGAAAGGGTTTTATCAAGAAAAATGTATTTCTGAAGCCAAAACAGATTATATAAAAGAGTTGCGTTAATCTTAGCAAATCATTAGGCCTGAAGGGAGGAAATACAATACACAGCATTAACTTCTTTATTCATAAAGACAAGAACATTACATATCGTAGAAAGGTTCTAGTATAATTCCTACTTAGCTTTGGTTGTATGTTTCAAAAAAAATGTATCTAATTTAAATTTATAGACAATCAGAGCAACAGAACTCAATAGAAATATATATATATATCGGTGTTCCATTTTTTATCATTTCTTCCAAAGTAATATGAAAACACTGATCCTTTTTGAAGAGCTGATGATGACCAAAAGATAATGTCAGTTAAATGAAGTAATACAAGCTGAGGCTGTAGCTACCAAAGATTTCTTTTGAATAAGCTTGAATAATCTAGTTGTTTTATAAGATCAGTACATTATCTATCATCAGTACATTATCTATCATATTTGGTCAGATTCCTTCCTGATTCTTATTTAACCATCTCTAATTACATAGCCACCCATCTCACAAAGCAACCATATGTTATAACTACAACACATGACTCCTAACTAGCTTAGTAATTGACAATATTAGCTGAGCATTATTTGATCTGCAATCCCATACATCTGGAGAGCAGCAGATATATCAATGCTGATTGGGAATTCTGGGATTTGTAGTTCTTATGCAACCAAGGATTTATTGAAATTACAGGGACTGGGGTAACAGAATAACAGAGAGGATTCAAAGAGATTGCTAAATATGCAAGGGGAGAGAAAGGAGAGGAAAGCTCCTCATTTCAGGCAGATGCTGGTGGAGTACAAATGATTTAGGATAACCCTAGAGAAATTTTCTTGGGTTTAGTGGAAAATGCAGTGAAAATGCTGTCCTTCATGTGCTGCAGAACTAAAAAAAAATCCTGTTGGGTAGTAGTTAGGAAATATTGAGAAATAACTGAAATAAAATAGCAATTAATTTAAATTTCTTTATTTACCTTGAGCGCATAATGATACATGGTTGTTTGTCCTGTAGAAAAATGCTGTAAGTGGTTTCTGAAACTCTTTACCCCAAAGGTAAGCCATAGGAAGCTCTAAATAACAAAGGTCTTTTTCTGACCGATCTCTGACCTTCTTATCTGAAATACCATTCCAAGTTAATAGAATCTACTTTCAGTCTCCAGTAGACACAGAGGAGACATAGGTGGGGCAAGTTGTATATAAATATTTCTAAGGTATAGCTTTTAAAAAATGGCACCTGAGCCCCTCTACCTGATAAAATTCAGCTCTTGTGTGTTATATGCCTTGAAATTTGTAAATGTCATGAATGAGGAATGAGGGTGGGTCAGTAAAAGGGGAGGCCTTAATGTATTTCCAAGACTTCAAACTCTCCTTGACACAGCAGATATCACATATTTGCATTTATCAAATCTCCTTTCCTTGCACATCACAAAACCAAATTCTAATTCACACAATCCTAACTAATCCGCCAAATTGAAGCAAAGTTCGATAGTTAGCAAAGTTAGCTAGGCAAATCCTATCCTGTGGCTCTCCATGAATAGGTTTCATTTATACACTGACATAATTAAATACTTTAAGATTTTAATCAGAATTTGCAACTGTATTCCACTGGAAGTTGAAAAACTATTAGAATACAAGTGGAGCAAGAGTGAACTGTATAAAATAAATAACCTGCTACCAAAAAAATCAAAAGCTTTATGGATTTTAACAGAAATGGCAAAATATTCATAATCCTCATACATGTTTATGTTTAGATATAATTTGACTTTTAAAACCCTAAACAGCTGGTATTGTTGCTTGACCTCACCATGTAGTGTCTTCTCTGTTATGGCAGACTAATTTAAATGACTTTTCTGCTTGTTGACTTATAGCCCTTTTTATGAATAAGGGGAAACTATTTTTTTCTATATGTGACATATAGCCAATGTTTTCACTTTGAAATTAATTACCATATTTTTGCTACTAAACTCATGAATTTGTGGTTTATTAAACTATGAAAAAACAATCACAATATTGTTTTAGATTTTAAGAAATTCCCACTAAACAATGGGCTGAAATTACACTAAATCTAAGCAGTAATGTGGTTTGTTTGCTTTTGAATTATCATAAGGCATGAAACTATCCATTCTAGCTTAATACTAAGTAAGATTCAGGTCACAGTTAAACAAACCACAATTCTCCAAATTCAGACATTATAGATAATATAGTTAGTTTTAAAGCTTTTGGCTCTTCCTCTAGCATACTAGAGAAAAAGTATGAAATGAAGACACATAAGTATCAGACATTACTAATCATGGATATCAGCACAAATACACCCACCCTGCCTAGTATGAGAGAGAGAGGGAGAGAGAGAGGGAGAGAGAGAGAGAGAGAGAGAGAGAGAGAGAGAGGAGGGGGTATTTGTGAGAGAGAGGTATTTGTGTGTATACACACACACATTCAGTGCAGGAAGGAAGCCTTTGCACACACAGTTGTATTTTGGTTGGGTTTTACACAAGTCAAGACCTTGTCCCACTAGGTCTTGGCTTGCACTGAAGCCAAAGTGCACACAATTTCAAAACATGAAGGCTTTCACCCTGCATATATCTGTGCTGAATGTGTGGATATCTGCAGCATGTTGATATATTTCAAATGATAGGTACAGGAGAGAAAGGCATCTGTAAAATCTGGAGATTTTGTCAGAAAGATGAAACATATTGTTGTGATATTACAATGCAAGTCACTTCCCCTATTGGAGAAGGCACGCAATGTCAAGATGCACATACAAAAGAGGTGAGGTTTGCTTCGTGATATCACATTCCCAGTTTGTGTTTTGCCTTCCCCCCTGACC